CGAGAGAGAGAGAGACAGAGAGAAAAAGAAAGAAAGAGAGAGAGAGAGAGAGAGAAGAGAGAAAAAGAGATCAAGCGAGAGAGAGAGAGACAGAGAGAAAAAGAAAGAAAGAGAGAGAGAGAGAGAAGAGAGAAAAAGAGATCGAGCGAGAGAGAGAGAGAGACAGAGAGAAAAAGAAAGAAAGAGAGAGAGAGAGAGAAGAGAGAAAAAGAGATCGAGCGAGAGAGAGAGAGAGACAGAGAGAAAAAGAAAGAAAGAGAGAGAGAGAGAGAAGAGAGAAAAAGAGATCGAGCGAGAGAGAGAGAGAGACAGAGAGAAAAAGAAAGAAAGAAAGAGAGAGAGAGAGAGAGTGTGTAAACCTGAAGGTGCTTGGGTCCTTCACGTAGTGGTTGGGACATGTTATCGGGTGACACATGTAGCTTCCTGGTGTGTTCAGACAAATCTCGTCTGCAGAGACGCATGGGTTGAGCGCACACTCGTTAATATCTGTGAGAAAAAGATGTCGTTAGTGTGTGCGTGTGCGTTAGTGTGTGCGTGTGCGCTAGTGTGTGCGTGCGCGTGCATGCGTGCGTGCGTATGTGTGTGAGCGTGAGTGCGTGCGTGCATGCGTGCGTGTCTGTGTGATTGTGCATGTGCGTGCGTGCGTTCGTGTGCGTGCGAGCTTTTCTGCAATTTTTACGCTCGAATGATTTTTTTAGGGCCTTATTAATTCTTTATTATAAATGTTTATCGTATTAATTCAATCATTAGATTCGAAAATGCGAACCAGCGCCACCTATCGACTCACCTTGGCACGTCCTTCCCGTCGGCGACATCCGGAATCCGTTAGGGCAATATCCGGCGCCACCTCTCCAGCGACTTCCGGATCCGCCGAACATCGGCGGGCAGTTTCCCGTGCACGTGACACCCCCGATTCCGCCTCCGTTTCCGCCTCCGTTTCCACCACTGACCTCCAGCCGCTGGTAACGGGTCACCACTTGACCTCCGCCTCCCGTCTCCTGACCTTGAGTTTGAGCTTGATCGTGAACAACAGACTGGACATTGTTTTCGTCATCGTCGGGTCTCTGACCGTTCCTCTCTCCTCCTTCCGCGTTCTCTCTTCTCCTCTCCTCTCTATTCCTCTCCGCTCTGTTTCTCTCTTCTCGGTTCCTCTCTTCTCGGTTCCTCTCTTCTCGTGTCCTCTCTTCTCGTGTCCTCTCTTCTCGTGTCCTCTCCTCCCCGTTGGAACGCGTCTGTTCCGGGGCCGCGGCGTCTCCTCCTCCTCCGTGTAAGCCCTGAGTCTCCTCTCTCTCTCTCCTCTCCTCCTGGCAGGACCTCCCGTCGTCCAGTAGTCGGAATCCCCGCTGACACGAACAGCGGAAGGAGCCGTCAGTGTTCACGCAGCGGTGCTGGCAGTAGCCTGGCCTCTCCCTACACTCATCCACATCTGTGGCCAGATGGGGAAAGAGACAGGGGGGAAGAAGAAAGAAGAATTAGATCGGGGGAATGTGATGATAGCGGGGGGGGGTCAGGAGATGGGGGGGAATAAAGTCACGAAAACTCGCGGGTTGAAATAGAGTAACGAAATCTTGAGGTCCAAATAAAGTCACGAAATCTTGGGGGTCGAAATAAAGTTAAGAAATCTGGGAACGGGAATAAGAAATAAAGTCCATATCTGCCCAACAGCGGAAAGGGAAACATATGTATGTCCATATTATGTGGACGACAAAGAAAATGGCATTAATTATACCTAGGGAAGCAGTGAAAGCCAGCTCAAGAAATATGTGGTGATCGATCAGAGATCAATAGAGATCTACATTAGCCACGTGTCTCTATGAACTTCTATGATCGCATTCTACCGTTGCCATCATCCGACCTTCAAGCCGCACGCGCCCTTGGGTTGACCCCCGTAGACTCACCTTGGCAGGTCTTTGTGCGGCGGTGCCAGGAGAACCCCTCGTTGCAGTCGTTGCGGGCGTACAGCTCTGGAATCACATGCGCTTACCGATCAGGTCATCCTGAAGTGTTAACGCTCGTGACCGACACGGGGGGGCGCCACGATCGCTGGATGTGGCGGGGGGGGGGGGGTCGCGAGGGTTGAGGTGACTATATATATATATATATATATATATATGTGTGTGTGTGTGTTATAAACAACTCATTAAATAGGTTAAGGGGTGTTTAAAATTTAATTAACGAGCTTTCAAGATGTACGTACATCTCGTCATCAGGTTCTCTTCTATTTATCTATATATATATATATATATATAAATATGTATGTATATATATAACGCGATTATACTAATAATAGTTACTAAATGTGAATCGCGGCTACGAACGCAAGCGGAAGTGACGCGGCGGCGGCGGGTAACAACATGGCGTCTCGCGTGTCTTCTAACTCACCTTCACATCTGCCAAGGTGACTGTTGAAGACGTAGCCGTCTTGGCAGCGACAGACGAAGCTGTTCGGAGTGTTCTCACAGCGCTGGTCGGGCGCGCAGTCGTGCGCCAACTCCGCACACTCGTCTATGTCTGCCGGTGTAGACGCAGCGAGATGAAACGAGCGCGTGACGCGGGGGGCAGTCTATAGTCGCTAGTTTACTGATTGTATACATCATCATACGTATATCATACGTCTTTATGATGTGCGCAGATGCACACGCACATGCCAGGGTGCAAAAGTAACGAGAGTCCGGAGTCAAATACTCCCTGATTTACTGCAGAAGCACACGCACACGCACGCTCGCACGCACGCACGCACGCACACCTACGAACGCACGCACGCACGCACGCACGCACGCACACACACACACACACACACCTACCTCCCCCCCACGCACGCACGCACGCACGCACACACACACCTACCTCCCCCCCACGCACGCACACGTACCTATACACTCGGTGCCATCGTCGTTGGCGCGTCGTCCGTCGCTACAATGCAGGTCGCCCCGACACCGGAACGAACCCGGAGTGTTCACACAGTGCCGTCTATCGGGACATAGACCGGGCCTCGACCCGCACTCGTCGATATCTGTCCGGTACAGACGCAGTGAGGTGTAACGAACGCACGACGTGCGCGACAGTCTATAATCGTTTTCTTCTTCCACCCGCTGAGAAGCGGGGAATGTGTGCGCTCATAGAATTTTAATGATCTCTATCTATGCAGAATCTCTTTTACGAAGAAGAAGAAGAAGAAAAAAAAGCTTAAAGAGCTCGAAAAAGCCCTTAAAATATGCTATGTATATATATATATGAGAGAGAGAGAGATTTTATATCAATACAGCATATTTTAACGGCTTTTTGAGCTCTTTTACCTTCTTCTTATATATATTATGATAAATAACTGGTAAGGCCGTAATCACAGCAAAGGTCAAAGGTCACGATGATTACGTCACGGTTAAGCCAGCGCCTGCTTCGTCTGCTACGCAATAATATAAACCCGACGTTCGTCTGCCGCGCATGCGCACCGTCACCTACCGACGCATTCGCTTCCGTCCTTGTTCATCTCGTAGCCGGGGTGACAGCGTCGCTTGTCCCGACACATGTACGAGCCGCCCGTGTTGTAGCATTGCTGGTTGCTCTCACACGTGTCCTCACCCAACTCACACTCGTCTATGTCTGCAGCAGAGGTCAGAGGTCAGGAGGTCAGAGGTAAGAGGT